CCCCCCCCACACACACCCACACCCACACACAAAAAAAAAATCAGGGGTCCTATCGTTATCTGATGGATTGGTAGTTTAGCTGTTCCTCTCCTTTGGTCTCATTTTGCCATTCCCTACCGTAGTCCTTGTTCTCCACGTGCCAGCCCAGCTGTTCGATTCCCTCTTTTCCCTCCATCCACCATTGAGTTCATTTTTGGGTGCACCTGGCCTTTATTTCCCACATTATTCCTTCACCTGCTGGTCGATTCATCCGTCCATCCGTGTTCGGTATGTACGATGATATTCTTGTGTCGTGTGTGGACGCGTCTTGAGTTTATCTCATGTGTGAATGAACTTGTTTCATAATTCCGGTATGTAGTCAGGATCAATCCGCAGCCAGACGGTATCTAGCCGGTGACCCCGGCCATGTTCTATTCGATCAATTCGCTATCCATGTCATCGATCTATCCATTTATCCAGTTTGCCTTTCATGCCTATTCAGTTTTTCATTTCATTCGTCCGTTCGTCGAACGCTCAATTCATCCCGGTGGCGTGAGCTTCGTTCGTAATCCCGTCTATGTGCATGCTGTGCTGGTAACCGACGCATCAGTAGTCAAGCCATGCTTGTGCTTGCAGTTGATCCAAAGTATGAATTTCTTTCGTAATATGAATTTCGTTCGTAAGCCCGTCTATGTGCTTGCTGTGCTGGTATTGAAGATCAGTATTCAATCTTTGGATCGTGTTTCATGTCTCCCACTTTCAGGGGATATTCACACTAATACTTATCGAAACGTATGTATCTGACTGCAATTACGGCCAGAGCTGGAAGTATCTGACGGCAATGACGTCCAGATGCTTAGTAGAAAAAGTCCTAGTGTGAGTATGCCCTCACATTGCGTAGGGCAGATCGCGACTCGTTTTGTGTCCAATTAAGTGTTTTTTTTTTTCAATGCATGGAGATAATATACATCCAGCAAATTCAATCTATACGCACCTTGAATACAGTGTATCTGTTCAATGAATTTTCAATCTTCTTAATAATTTTGATATTACTGTAGTACGGACCTTGAATTTGAATGCAGTGCATCTGGACGTCGATTACATGCCGGTTTTTGGACGAATTGACGGGGGAATAGAGTGAATAGGGTTAGGGTGAGGTTGTTTGTCTTTTTTTAAACGGCGACGGCCTTGAGATATCATTGTCGTGAGAGAGAGAGAGAGAGAGAGAGAGAGAGAGAGAGAGAGAGAGAGAGAGAGAGAGAGAGAGAGAGAGAGACAAGATACACACACACACCCCAAGGGGTCACAGAGAACGAGAGAGGACGATCCTCTGTTCCTTTCATTTCTATAAATTAACCAAATCGAATGTCTGGACATCATTTCCTGCCAAAATCTGCTTCCAAGTTTTTTCTACAATTATGCTATCGACTTATTACGTGTTTTTATCACCCAAGCTTTGAACTTCTTTTTTGTTGCCACAGCGTCTTATCACAACAGTGTTTTGCACACAGCTCACTGTGCATGGTGATGCTGCATACACATGATGGTGCAGTGCTACTGTCTTCATAACCATTAGCATTCCGGGTCATTATACCTGTATCTGGCACAGCTTTCTGCTTAGATACAGCGACAATGACCAGGTGGTCTATTCAGGTTGAGTGAAGATGGTAGTGCTACTGTCTTCACCCCAAAGTCCCTGCCCATAAGTAAGCATTGCAGCATAGCAGAAACACAGAGTTAGCACATACCCAGATATAGCATGCAACGTCATTACACCAAGAGAGCACGCAGCCTTGCAGAGCAGACAGAGAGCGGATACCAGAGAGCATACAGCCGGATTACACAAACACAAGATTTAAGAAATTGGTCGTTGCAGAAACACATTCAGCACACATTGATAACCACTCTCTCAATGACATACACAATCCCAAGGTAATAAATAAATTTATATATATGGTCACAAGATATCAGAGCTCCAAAGCGAAAAACAGAAAGAAAACAAGGAAAACAAGAAAAACTGAATTCGTTTTTAGTCTTCTGCCTTACAACTCCCCCTGTTCAGAACCTCTTGCGTACAAGGCCCCCCACGTGGATGTAGGTTGAGAGGCGGCTGCCCCCACCCCCGTGTGTCATATCGACCCACTTGCACACAGCCAAAAGGCAAAGAGGCAAAGAAAAGAGGAAGGGAACAGCCAAATAAAACACAACAGGGGGCAACAAAACAGATCCCAGATATTTTTCATAATAATTTGAGATGCGGGCCATCAAACACAGCGTAATTTGACAACACCAGTGGCCTTGGAGCACAGAGAGAGAGAGAGAGGCCTTAGAGAAGAGAGAGAGAGAGAGAGAGAGAGAGAGAGAGGCCTTAGAGAAGAGAGAGAGAGAGAAGAGAGAGAGAGAGAGAGGCATTGATGGCTTGTTCCTTTGCTTGCATACATGCGAATGATGTTGCCCAGTGTGTGATCCTCCCTCTGAAGGGTGAAGGTGCCAGCGTTCGGTATCTTCGTGTCGCGTTCATAGTCCACCCTGCAATGCTCCGCGCAAAGCGTAAACCACAGTCAGTTCACTTTTGACAGTGAGAAACCCTCAAAGGAAAGAAATAGGAGAGGAGAGAGGAGGTAGTGACAATAAACAACAATACTGGGCTGAAAAAGAAAAAGAAAAAAAAGGGAGAGGAGAGAGGAAAAAGGACATGCATGCATAGTCAGTCCACCCTGGAATTCTTCACTCAAGAAAGAGAAACCAAAGTGGATTCATTTTCAGCAGAGTGAGGAAGAGAAAGAGAGAGCGAGACAGAGAGAGAGTGAGAGAGAGAACCAGCACAGTCCGGGGATTGCTGGAAAGGACGAGGTCACAACACACACACACACACACGCACACACACACACACACACACACACACACACACACACACACATATAGTCCAGTACAGTCAACCAATCAATCAAAAAAAAAAAAAAAAGTTGAAGAAAAAAACAGTGGGTTCGTTCCACCCGGGTGTGTGTGCGTGCGTGTGTGTGTGTGTGTGTGGCGAGGGGGGGGGGTTGACCCCTCCCCCACCAGTCAATCAATCGAAAAATGAACACACATACACACACACACAATCAGTTTGTTGCCTGCCATGAATGACGTTATAGAATTACTATGAGCTGAGAGTCATTCTCTCTCTCTCTCTCTCTCTCTCTCTCTCTCTCTCTCTCTCTCTCTCTCTCTCTCTCTCTCTCNGTGTGTGTGTGAGAGAGAGAGAGAGAGAGAGAGAGAGAGAGAGAGAGAGAGAGAGAGAGAGAGAGAGAGGGTACCGAATGGTACAAGCGTAATAAGTCAGAGCGGCAATGGTCAATGATCCGCCAGTAAGAAGAAGACTGTGATGGAGAGAGAGAGAGAGAGAGAGAGAGAGAGAGAGAGAGAGAGAGAGAGAGAGAGAGAGAGAGAGAGAGAGAGGTTTCCTATTGCCTCGTCGCTGCTAAAAAAAGGACGGGACTTGCGATCACATTGAACATGCGTTTATTGCCTTCGTGGCTGGGCTAGATGTGTCTGGTGAATTCGTCGATGTTTGTTATCTTTTCGATTCAATGAATCTATTGAAGTTCTTCCCTTCCGTCTTCACTCGATTAGAACGCCTGGTCATTATCGCTGTATCTAGACTGGAAGTTGCCCCAAACGCAGGTGTAGTGACCAGACGTTCTATTCGGTTGAAGACGGTAGCTTATATATTATATGTATTTGATCCAGATTCTTTCTTCCGTTTATTTTTTTTCAACGTCAAATTYTTTTTTTTTTTTTCGTGTAATGTTATTCGATTTTTTTTTTTTTAATGTCTGGTGCATTTTCCCTTGTCCGCTCGCTTTTCCGGACTATTTTCATTGCTCATTTCTGGACACAGTCATTGATGATATGGACAAATGACGCGTTTTTTAGCCAATAAGGCCTTCTTTTTCTTTTTTGTTTCGCGTCTTGTTCTCAGCCCAGCGCGGATCTATTTTCAGCGAGGGAGCATCCCGACTTGAATGTCGCCGTGGATTATTCGTCTATCACGGTACGAAAGTTTTTTTTTTTGTTTTCAAGTTTTTGAGCAAGTTGGGTATGCCATGGTTGGGTGGGCTTCCGATGCTTCGCGCTCTCTGCTGACCTTTTTTTTTTTCCTTTTTGAGTAAACAAAACATTTTCGTTTCGTTGCTGGGAACCGAGCCCAGCGTCAAGGCATCTAATCACAAGCTCTTCACCCTTTTTTTCCTTCTTCTTTTTCTTCGTTTTTTTCCCTTCTTCCATTTGTCAATGTATGCGTGTCAAGAGATATGCAAGTGGCAAATTAAAATTCGAATTTGAAATCTAGGTTGTACACACGTGAACTACCTGAGATTACCTGGGCAGTCCAGCGCGGTGCAGAGGCCTGACGAACGACGGGTTGGACGGCTACACGGACTAGTCAGATCCGCTGTAGGATGGATGAGCCAATCACAGCATAGCAGAAAGCTAGGCCGCACGCGCAAGGAAAGGCTCTACCTATAAGTCGAGGGCAAGGCCGCAATGGTCCTCGCAGCTCATGGGTGATATAGTGCAGGTGGGAGCCGAAAGGCTGGGTATCGCGGATCGCCTCCTGATGAGACCGGTGCGCAACTGGTTGAAACATGTAGAGGGAAACGTGCGCGTTTGAGCATGTAACACGTATGAAGTTTCATTGCTGATTCTCAGTGAGCGTGTGCAGAAGCAATTGGCCATTGCTTGTCATCATTCTTCTTCTGTCATCTTTGCGCAGGGGCCGTGCTCTCTTTCTGTGTGTCTGTATCGTTCAAATTTTCTAAGCGGGCTTCTGGCCATGACTTGTCATCATTCTTCTTCTGTCATCTTTGCGCAGGGGCCCTGCTCTCTTTCTGTGTGTCTGTATCGTTCAAATTTTCTAAGCGGGATGTTCGGGAGGACTCGCACGCACTTTGTCGAGCTCAGTCTGGTGTTGTTTCGAGCGCGGTTGCAAAGTTTTTGTATTCGGCGATCCTTTTTTTTTTCCCTGTTTTTTGGAACTTTGCGTCAGCATCCGATCATGCCGTAAAATGCAGTCAGAATACACTCCCGCTTTCCAAAAACAGAAAAAAAGAAAAAAAAAGAAAAAGAAAAAAAAACAGTTACTGGAGAGGAGGAGGCGAATTAAGGTTAACCAGCGCTCTGAACGTGTCGATTGCTTGTCTACTCAGCACTGACGTGTCGGCACCTGCAGAGACACAGGTCAGGCACAGCGGGGAACTTGTGTTAATTAAGGCAAGTAAGTCCGGATCGGCAGCCAGCCACAAGCGCTGCTGAAGACTGTGACACCGAACTGTCCTCTGAGTGGAGTGTCTCGCCTCCTCGTTCTTCTGGTCGTCCTAATAAACCCTGTCGACCCCGAATTACCCTTTTTTTTTTTTAATCAGTAATTGTGCTCCTGCATTAGTTCAAACTTCATCCAGAACCGAATACCATTTAACCACAGTTAGATTCGGCACTACGCACGGCAATCCCTGCCGCCAGGCGGCGGTTCTCACTCAAACAGGAACGTCAGTTCAGACGCACAAGCTTGAAATGGCAGCAAATCTGCGCATCTTCGCCACCAAGAGCGTCGCCATCAAGGAGGATCTGCAATTTCCGGACCAGTTCCCAAACCAGTTTCGGAACCTCGCTATGGAGGAAGATGTGAGTTTCGGAAACGGTTTCCCATTTCCGAACCAGTTTGCAAATCAGTTTCCCATTTCTGAACCAGTTTGCAAACCAGTTTCCCGTTTCTGAACCAGTTCCCGAACCTCGTCATGGAGGAAGATGCACAGCTCCCGAAACAGTTTCCGATATCCCAACCAGTTCCCGATTTCCCAAGCAGTTTCTGATTCCTGAACCAGTTTGTGAACCAGTTTCTTGAACCAGTTTCTTGAACCAGTTTCTGAGTCAGTTTCCGAACCAGTTTCCGAACCAGTTCCCCATTCCCGAACCAGTTTCTGAACCTTGTCTCCGAGGAAGATGAGCAGTTTCCAGTTTCCTAACTAGTCTTCCAACCAGTTTCCCATCCAGTTCCCGAACCAGTTTCCGTACCAGTTCCTGAACCAGTTTCCCATTCGCGGACCAGTTCCCGAACCAATTTCCCATTTCTGGACCACTTTCCGAGCCAGTTTCCGAACCTCACCACCGAGGATAATTTGCAGTTTCCAAACCGAGGGTGTGAGGAAGCATTGCAATCAGATGGAGGGGGGGGTGTATTGCTGAGGAAAATGAGGAAGTTTTCCGGGCGGTGCTTGCATGTGGACTTGTCATCTAGGATTTGTTTATGTCTGTTTGAATTTGTTTTGGTAACTTTGTCAGCGTCCCGGTTGGTTTTGTCCCGTTGTCCGGTTGGTTTTGTCCCGTTGTTCGGTCTATTTTGGAATGCGTAGCGGTGCTTTCATGCAGGACTAGTCATTCGGGTTCTTTTTTATTTTGGCACCCTGGTTGGTTGTTTCCCGTTGTTCGGCCTGTGCATTTGGGGGCGGTGCTTTTATGTGGGAATCGTCATCTGGGATTGTCTTTTATATTTTGTTGGACGTCCTTCAGCACAGACGGCGGCAGTCGTAATTGATTGATTTCCTTTTTTTGCAGGCAAGGTGTTTCGATATCCTGGTTGGTCTTGTCCCATCGTTTGGCCTGTGATGTTGGGGCGGTGCTTGCGTGTGGGATTTGTTTCCCCCTGTTTTGTTGTGTTCGGCTGTTTCCTTCCTCTTTTCTTTGCCTCTTTGCCCTTTGGCTGTGTGCAAGTGGGTCAATATGACACACGGGGGTGGGGGCAGCTGCCGCTCAACCTACATCCACGTGGATGGACGGCCTTGTACGCAAGAGGTTTTGAACAGGGGGAGTTGTAAGTAAGAAGATAAAAAATGAATTGATTTTTTCTTGTTTTTTTTTTTAATTCGCTTTTGTGCTCTGACATCTTTGTGACAATATATGGGTGAAGATGTGGGAGATTGAATGGAGGGGTGGGCGCAGCAAGAAGGAGGTGGAGGTAGAACGAACGTGAAGGGAGGATGAAGAAGGATGAAAAGGGGTGAGGGAGAAGGATGATGAAGGTAAGCATGCATGCAAGGAAGATAGGGAAGGATTGACCATGCACGCACGACACATATAGGAGGGATGAGTATATTTTGTGGGTGCTTTTGCGCAGGTTTCCGTTTTTTTTTTTTTTGGCGACATTGAATAAGGGATTGGCTATTTGACGCGATCCTGCATCCTCTCTCTCTCTCTCTGCGTCTCCCTTCTGGAGATCTAATGCATAGGTAGGCATGCATGCAAAACAAAAATGGGGAAGGCCGAGACGGAGGGAGCAAGAAGCAGCAAAAATGCTATTACTCTCAGGGGGAATCTTGAGCTGGTGCTTTTTTTTTTTTTTTTTTTTTTTTTTTTTTTTTTTTTTTTTTTTTTCCAACGCACGCTGAAGAAGATGCGACGGGTGAGCCGAGATGTCGTCAGGACCTAGCTGGGTGATAGACGAATGTGGGCTTACAGATAGAGAAGGAGAAGGGGGAAAAGAGAAAGCAACTCAAACGGCCAGGCCAGGTGAAAGAAGGATGTTGGGTTGGAGATAAGGAAGAGGGCAGACCAATGAGGCCAGGGTGCTGCCATGGAGGACCTGTAACTGAGAAAGAAACGGAAGATCAAGAGGTGTGTGAAAGGAGAATGTGGGTTTGCAGATAGAGAAGGGCAAGCGACAAACAGACAGCAGAGGGGGTAGACGTGAAAGGTTGGCTCATGGGATTATTTTTGGACGCAAGTGCTCGATCAACGGCCCAAATCTGTGACTTGCTTTCTGACGTTTTCACAATTCTGAAGCTTTCGTTCCTTAAAACATCCAACCCTGTCTCTGTCCTCTTCTACTTTCCCCTTCCTCTTTTTCCACTGAGAACCTTGCCCCTCCCTCTTCTCTGTCCCTCCTCTTCGCTGCACGTGTAGCCACGACGAGTCCCCTTGTTATTGCTATTTGTTGACCGAAGAGGTTGGGGGAGACAAGGAGGATGAAGTGAGTTGGTGAGTTGGAGGGATATTTGTTATTGATGTAATGACCCTCCAAAACACAGACTGAGAACACTGCTGATTTCTGGGTTTTGGTGCTGGAATGTATGCTGAGTTTCACGTTGTGCTGAGTTTTCTAAGTCTGTATGTGTGCGTGCTTGCTGGTCCGTGTGCCGGTCTGAGTGCACGTCTGCCTGAGTGTGTGTGTGGCTCGACAGGGCACTTGTGCGTTGTGAGGCCCTCGCTGGGCTGGTACTTGCCTGTGGCTGTGACTTTGGGGGTTGCAGCAGGGAAAACACTCGCGGGGAGTAGGGCCGTGACACTTAGGGCAGCGGGGGAGAAAACAAGTAGCAGGTAGGCCGGTACCACTCAAGTAGTGGTACATGTGTTGGGAACTGAAGGCCGAGCAGGAGAAGACAAAAAGTAGGCATTTTTAGAGGCCCAGTAGCGGTAGGCTAGAGGTAGGCGGGTACCAGTCCAAGTAGCTTGAGTGTAGGGCCTAGCCTACACTGATTTCCCTCCGAATGAGACGAGGTACCAGTTGCTTGGAGGCTGTGCGGCCTGGAAGTCCCTGCTGAAGAGGCAAGTAGGCTGCTCTCTCCAGGTAGAGCGTTGGGCTCTACCTCATTTGTGGTATGCAGATTTGGACGCCATGCTGCTTGAGCAGGCCCAGGTTCTCATAGCGCTGCCTGGGAGGAAGGAGGAGAGCTGGGCACTCGGCCTGGCTATGGCGAGCTGCCCAGCTTGAGGAGGAAAAAGGGGGTGAAGGAGGAGAGTGGTGAGGTACCTACCTGGCTATGGTGGACACCATCTTCATGTGTCGGACCCACCAGGCGAGGTGCTCCGCCTGGGATAGAGATGGAGATGGAGGATGAGGGTGGAGCAAGATGGCACAGCGCAACTCCCACGCAGACTCCAACGCACGTACTCCAAACTGTGCGAATGTAGAATGGCCCAAAGTACAGACTCTTGTTGGGGTATACCCCAATGGACTGATTGGACCGGCTGGTACCGACAGAGGTACCGGCTTGGACTAGA